GTTTTATGGAAACGTTGATGGATGTGTGGGGCCAGCCGAAGGCATAGAAATCTTTTATGATGCCATTAGATATGGTAGCCAAGGGTTAAGGTTAATATGAACACGAAAATGTATGCTGGCGTGAAGTTGGGGTCTTTAAAAAAATGTTGTAAAGAAATTAATAACAGCCGGGGATATTTTTTGGGCTTAGCTATGTTTACTTTATATATTAATAAACAGAATATATATATTTTAATACCTTTTTCATAGCTATTTTAATTTTCTAGATTTTTTTTTTGCGGCTCTAAAGCTATTTCAATTATGTTAAGCCTTATCCTCTGCAATTTTCTATATGAACTTTGTGTTTAATTAATTACAAATGCATTTTAATTAAAAGGAAATTGTAAAACAAAATACTCTGACCTTTTTCTCTTTCCAACTTGGCAAAAACAAATAAAATTGGTATTAAATTTGTTTAAAATTTGTGTTTGTATAGCAAAATTTATTATTGATAAAAGTTTGCAGAGGAAAAGTCCATGAACTGATGGCGAGGTTAAATCGATTGAATCTCTGGCATTTCCCATATATTTTCTCCGCCTCCTCCCCCACACTTGTCACTTGTCACGTGTCTGGTTTTTTCTCTCACCTATTTTTGGCCTGGAAGTTCTTGGATTTTTTTCTTTAGGAGGACGGGAAAAATGTCCGCGTCATTTATAAGCCATTTAATCATCGAGCATTCTTGGACTTTCAGTTCCGTCAGCTGTCGCTGCTGTATTTTACACTGTGCTCTCTTTATTTTTAGAGATTTTTCTAGTTTTTTTTTTTTAGTTATTTTGTAAAGGCATTCTCCAAAAGAGCAAAACTCTTGCAATTAGTCAGCTGCTTGTCGCCGAAAAGTGTCAAAATATTTTTGCTAGAAACAGTTTTGCTTTTCATTTTGTACATTTTTTTTTTACTCACCATTCTATTTTCCCTTGCATTGAATCAGAGAATGTGGGCAAGTTGGCCAAAAGCCAGGGAAAGGGGGAAGAAAATGTACAAAAAAAAAATTCAATTTGGAAAATGAATTAAATAAAATATTTCTAGTAAAAATTATACTCTTTGCAGCTTAAAATATAAAAATCTCTGCTTTAAATTTTAACTAAAAATTAAGACATTAATTTTAGTGTTAAAATTTTCCTCAGTGCACTTGCCGTGTGTGGCAGCGTGGCCAAAATGTCACGTATACGTCGTGTGGCCTGCCGTGGAATCCATTCACACACCTCCCCTTTTCCCTTGCCTGTTTTTCGCGATTTTCCACTTTTCTTTGCCGGGGTTTTTCGCAGCTCAGCTGTAGGTAATTACGTCATTAACAAGAAATTTGGAAAGTGCCCGTCATATCATTTGCTGTTTGGCTTGTGTCAACTGTTGGGTTGGTTGGCTGATGTTTTCCTTGGGGTTTGGGTAATTGCTGGCCTGTATTCGGTGCTTTGTTTTGTGGATATAAATGCGCTTCTGTTAAAAGGGGTAAGCATGTGCAAATTACTAGCACAGATTGTATACCATTTAGGCATTATAAATTGGCTTAATTTGACTTGTAGCTGGGAATAGATATTCTAGGGGGTTCTAGGAGTGTTTACAAATGATATGCTCTTGTTTGTTTATCCGGGATTTCTAAGAACCTGAGCTGGTTTATTAGGTTGCTCTGGTTTGAAGTAATATATACGACTTTGTTTGGGTTTTTTCTTAAATTTAAACATTAAATTTGTGTGTATTTAATGTGATTAAAATGTAGATTTTGAAGGTATTACTTGATATAAAAATTCTATATTATGAAAATCATAATTAATATAAATACTCCAAATTTCTAAATAATATATTATGATTATAATTAATTAATAATCCCTAAAAATAATAATTTAATATCCCAATTATATGAAATTTCTTTCCAATATTAATAACAAGTCAAATACAAACAAACTTCTTGATATTTTGATAACCCACAACTTGTCTGAGGTATTCTTAGACCAAAATAAATATAATTATCCTAATTAGGGTTTTGACCTATAATAGTAATAATTTTCATAATTCCAACAAGTTTTATCTTTTCCGAAAATACAAAACAAATATCCTTAGCATTTTGCATTATTTATTTTTCCTTCCATTTTTTTTGTGGCTCCTCATTATTTGTTCCCTAATTAGATGTCATCGAACATTTCCAGGAGTGACTCTCTGTCGTTGTCTCTGTGTTTTTGCTATTTTTGCTTACTCTGCACACCTGACTGGCCACGCCCCCAGGCCAGCTATATAATAATAAGGGAAGTAGGGTGGGCCTAGGCTATTGAACCCACTCAATGCCACTCAACTTTACCTGTCTCGCGCCCCGCCTTTGATCCGTAGAACTTCGGTTCGCTTTTCGTCTGGCGGTGACATTGATTTTGATTGCAAACTTTTAATGTTTGCATATGCAACTCATTAATGCAATGCCACTTTTACAGAAAGCGCTACAACTTCTTAACTTTATTGGTGGGCAAAAGTTTTTTTTGATTGCAATGAATACATTTAATTAAATAAGTTTTTGCGTTAACAACTCTTCTGCTGGCACTTAAATTGAAATTGTTTTGCGGGAAGAGGCGTAACTCCGTCGTAGCTGCAACAATATTGACAACAATTTATCAAAAACTATTAAGGCTGGCGCCATTTTATGCAAATCACTGTATACAGTGAGTGTCATTTATATGCAATCGCCTGTCCCGGTGTCTGGCTCTGTCAACTGGCATTAGCATCGCCAAAGCGAGAGAGCCAGCAGCGACATCGTCATCATAATCATATTTCCAGTTCACTTATATGTACATATATATAGACAAGACCAAAAACAATGCAGCTTTATGGGTTTCTTTGTGTTTTTTACAGTGAGAGAAAATATTAGTTAATTTAGAAACTAATTTTATAAAAAATATATTAAAATAAAGGCTAGAAATGGTAAAGAAGATTGATTTAAAAATATTTTTTTACTTTATAAAATTGGTTAAGAGTTTTTAATTAGTTTCTTTTTATAAAGAAATTATTCTAAATTAATTTTTTTAACTTTAAAAATCTTAAATCATTCTCCTAAATTTTTTCTAGATTTTTTGAGGCTTCTAGTTTGAATATTCTCAATTCTTTATACATTTTTTCTTGGTACTTTGCATACCCTTCCATTTTTTCTGCCTGCATTCCAGCTCTTTGTTGTCACATCCACCTCCCTTACCACATCTTTTCTAATACCCCTGGTTATGATTTTGAATAGCCATTTTAGAAGTCAACAACAGCTTATAGTTATGACTCCGATGGCCCCTGTAATTGAGTTGCAGCTGAAGAGCTGAAGAGCCAAAAGGGAAGGAAGTGGGAGGTGTGCACTTATGGAAGCCTTATGCAAAGATCGCACACTCCATGGCCATAAATTGCTTGGCTTGACTTGCTTCTTGCATTGTTTAAGCCAAATTGCTTTTGACAACGGCCAAACAGTTCACAAGGGGATCGAATCGGAAGTTATCTCAACACTGCAGAGTCGCACACACTTTATCGCCTGATTTAACACAGCTTCTCGTGTGGGTAAATAAATAAGGAGAAATACTATATATATTTTATACACAGAGATTTAGATAGAGTGAGAGACTGAACATTTTTAGTTACATTTTTCTGTATTGCAATTGTCAGACAAAAACTGGTTTATAGTCGGGGGAATATGCTTAGACTGAGGCTTTGGACTGCCGGAGGTCAGTGTGTTTTGGATTGGTCATCTCAATCAGTGTCAGTGCAGCGACTTGAGAGTTGTGAAGAGTTTGACAAATGATGGTTGAAGTGCCAATTTCCTTATTAGGAGGTGGTAAACCCATTGAAAACAAGAAAAAACAACGATGAGGAAGTGTAAATAATCAAGCAGGAAATTTGAATAAGAAATGTGGGAGTTGTGTAGCAGATAAAGAACATTTTTTATGGGGCTTAAAAAGACTTGTAAGCTTGATTAATAGGGAATTAAAGTATGCTTGAAGAAATACATAAAAATAAATATAATAAAAAAGGTCTTATTACAATAAACCAATTTTTTAGTTGGTATAAAACACTATTTTTAAAAGTGACTAATATTTTTTTAAAATTATTTATTTATTTAGTATTTATTATTATTAATTATTACTATTTTCCATATTTCTCAAGTAAATTTTTAAGCACTATTTTGAAAACTAATTAGTTTTTGTTTAATTATTTATTTTTTCATTTATGTTTCTCAAGTGAAAATAAATTTTAAAACATTTTTTCTTTAACAATAAATATCATATTTTATTACTAAACTTTTTTTATAATTTTAAAAATTTTATAATTAATTTCCCTCTATATAATTTCCAACCTTTGCCCTACTTTTTTATTTGTTTTATTTTTCTAACAGCATAAATTACTCATTTTTGTGCGTTCTAATAATAGAGGAGAGTAGAAAAAAAAGCACACAAACAGAAATCATTAATGCAATCAACAAACCAGGAAAAACCAGACACACCTCTTATTGAAGTACCACACCCCCCCCCCAGTCTCAGTCTCAGCAAAACAGAAAACAATTTTCATGCCTCACTGAACTTTAAAATGAGCCCAACGTATATTGCTAAATGATATTATTTGATCAGTTTTGGAAAATAAAACTTAATTATAGATATTCAGATAGTGGATAAAAGCGGGGCAAAGGAAAATCCCCCCAAATGAAACTCACAAAATGCATTTTCTATTTTCGGCTGTTGTACAATTTGTTGATTATTCATTTTGGGGGGAAAATGCAGCCCCATCTCTGGGGTCACCCTGTTTATTATGGGAGACCACGCTCCACTGATTTATGTTCATTTATAACAACAAAATCTGTGTTTTGTTTTCTCAGTCTGTGTCTCTGTTTGTTTGTTTTGAAGTTTCTCCCCCTAACCATCATTATGCAATCATTGAATGTCACTTGATAAATCTATCACATTTTAAAGCAATTAATTAATGTGTATATATGTTTTTTATAAATTTTTTTACAGGCGTCACCATGCGCGAGAAGAAAGGAGGAGCCCTGCAAAAGCTCAAGAAGAGGCTATCGCATAGCTTTGGCAGATTAAGTGAGTAGAAATTATTATATTTATTCTTGAAATTTAATATAAATATAAAAAATAATTCCAAGAAAATTATAAAGCTGTAGGTTCTTTGTTTATAAACTCAGGAAATCAATAATAAATTCAAACTAAAATGCAGTTGAGTCATTTTCTGATTTTGTAGCCAATGTGGGTGCAGTTTTTTCTCTTTCAAACAATAGATACTTATGGTAATGCCATAGATTATGGATATATACATACATATATGTCTAGATATTTACCTTTATATATTTATTTATGTATTGTTTTGAAGTTGCTGGAAACACTTGTTGAAATCAAGAAAGAAAATGTCAAATGGCTTGAATTTACATTACAAAGTTTTCAAATCCCCTCAAACTGATATTATTTCTTCCTGTAACCTTTTACCTTTTATGACCTGTAACTTGTCCCTATTCCGCTTCAATTTTCACCATTCAAAACATGACGTTTTTTTCTCAGCTGGTTTTATGAATGCAAAATATTGCCAGGCGCCGCCCCAAAACTTCAATCAACTTTGCCACATCAACACTCAGAGTTCCTGTAGCTCTTTTATATACTCCTTCCCTCCTTTAGCTTTTTCTGACCAAAAATTTACACAATTCCCCAAAAATACAAAAAAACAGAAACAGAAAGAACCCAATGTAAATGCAATTTTTATTTAAAAAACTCCTGACAGACCGCAACAGACAAAAAAATGAAATGCAAAACATTTTCGCAGTTTTCGCAAAGGGAAACTTATCGATTTTGTTGTGTGGGAAAAGCTTTTAATGGTACAAAAAAAAGTAGAAAAAGAATTTTGAATGGTTGTCAGCTCAGCTCTTTTGGTTCGAGTAATTGAATGCACTCATTCCCAAGTTCAAAATGCAATTGACAACAGAGACAGCGAGAGAGAAAAATTGCAGGAAGTGCCGCCAAAGCACCAAATTGATGAATTACTACTGAAGCGATTTTCCAACCCCTCTAATTTCTGCAGGTATTTCGCTTGATTTCATCAAATATTTGCCTTTTTGCATTCATGATGGTTTATGGTTTAGTTTCTGGCGTGTCATGGAAACCCGTATGAGGTGCTGCATTGCTGTTGACTCACCGAAAAACCAGTTTCGGTTGCTTGATTTTGCGGCATGCGGCTAATTGTCTTTCAACGCCCACGCAAACGGTTTTTAGTTTTTATTTATTTTGTTTTTTTTTTTTTGTATTTTTTTTCTGTCTTTTATAAGTTGCTCCAGAAACAAGTCCAGCAAACAGCTGTTTTTCTTCCCATAAGAGTGGAAAAAATTGTTTTATTTTCTTTGAATATCTGACTAATGGTCTTGTTTTGGCTTTAAATGTAACCATTTTTGGCTTGCATATTTAATTGACATTTTTTGTCGGCTCTTTTGTTTGGAAAATAACCAAAATATGAAACCATATAAGGTGGGATTTGGTGGCAGAAAAGGTTGTGGGGTTTAAAAATAGGTAAACTTGGTCTTGTTATGAAGTAATATTTAGTAAAATATTTTTATAGATTTAAATATATATTTTTAAAAGTTTTAAAAACTTTTTAAAAATCAAAATAGACTTTTAAAGATATAATTTAAAAAATACTATCAAAGAAAACTAAATATCTTAGAAATAAAAAAACTTTTCACAAGAAAATTCCTTTCTAAAATTCCTCACTTACCTTGTAAAACATTAAATATTCATTTATCTTTGACATCAAAAAGAAATAATACCAATTTTGGTCAAAATTGATTTCCTTTCATCAATCAAACAGCTTTCAATAAATTCCCAAACTCATGTTCAGTGAGCAATTTGACTATTTTCCATTACGATGAAAGCCCCGCCCCAAAGATGAAATTTTCAGCGCATTTTCTCTCTCTACACTTTTACAATATGTCAGAGAGTTTTCTTTCCAAAGTTGCAACTTGCAACACCCTCATCAACAATTGGGCAATCCTTCAAGCGGAAACAATTTCGAATTTCAAATGCAACTTGTGCTCTGGCATTGGAACAATTTCTCACGATTTTCCACTGTTGTTACTGCTGCTTTTTCTGGCGCATAAGTGTTGCATCCATTTGGTTTAAAATGAGAAAATAAAGTTGACTTTATATTCTAGCTGAAGTTTAAATGCTTTCATTGCATTATTGAGGAGCAACAGCAGCTGCTGCTGCTGCTGATGCAACCAAGGAATGTCACTCAAGCTGCTGGTGTGCTCCACAACTGGCCAAGTTGTCTTGGCCAAGGCCATTACAACAAGCCCCACTAACTGTAGTTGTTAGTTGTCGCCCAGTTGTAGTAGTTGCAAGACTTGTCCCGCTTGTTTGTCAGCGAACTGATACTTGCAGCTAAACCGTCGTTAATTGCCGCACGGGCTGTGGCTCCTCTTCCCCAGTTTTTTCTTTCTTTCCTTTTTTTAATTACGAGTAGCTGCAACTCAACGTAAATGTATCTGTATCTGTAATTGTATCTGTATCTGTCTCGGTATCCGCATCAGTGTCTCACTGTTGCTACTTCTAAACTGCTTCATTTGCCGGCCATAAAAGTTATGAAGTTATAAGACGCTGTTGCACAAGAAATTAAAAGCACACTGAGAGAAAATACTAGGAAAAGAGGGGGAAAAATAAATAAATAAATTTATATTAATATATAAAAGGATCAAAATAATATATGAAATAATGTCAGAGCATAAATTGTGGGATCTCTACAAAGGCAAACTTAATTACATTTAGTTTTAAATTGGAAATACAATTTTAGAATATTTTTTAAATCTTTCTTAAAATCATTCAAGTTAAAAACAAAGTCTAAATTTATACTGAAAAATATTTAAATAGCTTCATTATACCATAAATCCTTTTATAATTATATTATTAATATTACAAACTCAAAATGTACCCCTTTTCTTTACCTGTATCTACCATTTAACCAAAGAATTCTCTGCATTTCCTCTTCATCTTTTGATGAGTGCATTCCATAGACCTGAAATACTTATAGACCGGAATTACGTACACTTAACTTATGTACATATATGTTTTTGTTAGTGTTTTCTTGTACCGCTCGTGATTTCTTTGTCATCTTTTGCCTTTTCTTGTTGTGGAACTGGTAAATAACTTGAAATGATTCACTTGACTTGGGGTTTAGTTTCTTTGAATGTGATGACTATAAAAATGTTTAACGATAAGAAAAACAAGAGTACAAGTAGTTGAGACTGGTGGTAAGGGTTTTTCAAGATAAATACAAAAATTTTAAGACTTAAAATTAGTTTAAATATTCTTTATAAAAATGAAGAGGAACTATTTTTAAAGCTATAGTAAGACCAGGTTAAATTTCTTATATTTTAACATAAGTTTCATAGATCGCAAAATTCAATAATTAATAACATGTGACTAAAAGTCCCTTTCTTTATATCAAAACTTAGAAGATTTCCTAAAATCTTTGTCTTAATCCCTACAAAAACCAGCGAAACTCTTAAAAAAAGCTACATTAGAGCTCCTTGAAACTCAAGTGTGAAATCCTCAACTTATTTAACCAACAATTGTGACACTTATTCCCAGCTCCTAGCTCCTTCTCTCCTTTTTTTTTGCCACTTGGAAATAGAGGATAACTTTAGCCCGGCCAAAGCGAGAGATTCTTGAGATATCTCAAGCTCCTTTTTGCTCCTTTTGGTGTAAATATTTTATGGCGTGTCCAATGTCCGACTTTGACACTTGGTTGTCGGCTATATCTCGACGCTATCTCCTCATCATCATCGTCGTCGCCGTTGTCGTCGTCGTCGTGCTCTTATTTCCCTGTTCTAGTGATACAGTTCTAGTCGCTGTGTTTTACCTCGTTCTTCCGTTCTTTGCCATCTCACTTGCCTTGTCATAATCCTTTCTGATAACATTTTATGTCACAAGCCATGGCCAAACACACTCGAGGTTGTCTATGGCTTTAACCCTTGACTGGTGTCCGTCCCATCTGACTGCCAGTCGCAGCCACTTGATAACTTTACACTTGAGCTCACCAGCCAGGGCCTGGAGTCTGCCCTCTTTTCAGTGCAACTCAATGACAAAAAAATATAGAAAAAATAAATAGGGAGTTGGGTTTGGAAAGTCGAAGCTTAAAATACTCTTTCAGGGGAATTATTGTACCCAAGGGAAGTATAAAAAAAAAGAATGTATATTTATTAATGTGTTCAGGGATTCTTAAGTACATTTTTGATAAGAAAATATGTTTATATATAACAGAAAATTTTTTTAAATTATTGAATATAACTTGAAAAGAAACTGACGGACAAGATAGTAACCTCCAATTTCACATATTATTTTTAGAAGTATGTATTTAAGAGTGTGTTAAAATACCTTTTCTTTATATTAACACCCCCTTTAAGGGTATCAAAAAGAAAATGTATATATAAAAGAATCAGCAGCCGAAGACATAGCGCGATAAGCAGCTAATGGCCGTCGACTGTTGATGCTTCCTCCTTTGCCTCGCTTTTATCTCCGACTCCGGCAGCCTCCTCCTCCTCCTCCCCTTCCCCCTCTCTCTTTATAGTATGATATCTCCCCCTCATTCACCACCCCTCGAGCAAGTCTATTCAATGGCCATGGATGATGGGTCTAAACTGGACTCTGCCCGCATATATGTTTGAGATACAGTGATAACCACTTTGAGTGGATCGGAAGTACTAGTTTTTGGTGGTGATTCATGGTTTGGGTTTAGGCACTTTTAATGCGGGTAATGAGCTTTAAATTGATTTGGAAATCTATCTACAGACTTGAAGTCAATTAAATTTGTGAGACAATTAATGTGCTTCGAGGTTTTCCTAGGAAATTGTAATTAATATGTTGAGTAGAAAATCTAAATAAAATGTTTTCATTGATAGATTTACCTAAGAACACAATTAAAGCTTATTGAATTGAATTTAAAAGGAACTTTCATTGGGGTTTTGATGTAATTTCAATTTAATTTCAAGCACCTAAGCCTTCTTTATCTATTTATTTGCTTTCTCTTAGATTTAACACTGTACATT